AACCGGATTTTTAGAACTTATCCATACCTTCAAAACTTATGGAAACGTCTTAAATTCTTCAAATTTTGAGTACCCCAGTGCGAAATTCGCCCCGACGGGTTGTCGGTCGTACCCCAACCACATTTCACACCGCTATGAACAATAAATGCACACACTAAAATCGCTATTACCGATAGGCTCATCCAATCAAGTTTCGATAAACCCGTTCATCATCATCTCCTGCGGTTTCGAACACACCTGTTAGGTGGCTTCTGATGCTCGTCGAGGTCGGAATTTCCAAATACGCGTGGTGCGTCGGGCCGCGCGCTCTGACTTCGGCCAAGAAAAATGCGTCAGCTGATCATTGTCATTTCTGCCACTTGCGTGTGGTGTAATGGGGTCATAACTTAAGAGACGGCTGTTTCATATCAATTATTTTACATAAAATCATATTTCAAACCACAAATTAATGTTCGACAGCCAAATTTAAGAAACAATACCAATACAGGCTTACAGTTTAAGGCTCGACATTGTGTTGTCTACGATTAGACAGCTGATAACTCATTCCCGTACGTCGTATGGTCGTAACACTATAATGACCTTTGCTTATTGTCACAAGTGCGCCGCATTCGCGATTGTTGCCCGACGCCTGTTTGCAGGTGAGCCCACTACAGTTGTTATACATATCTAAAAACCGATAAACTTTTAGGCGAAAAAGGCACTATTCCAGGCCCATTTTTGATTTTTTTTTGCGATATTAGGTAAAAACAGAAGCTTCTTATCCTAGGAAAAATAAAACGGGAAATCTTTCAAAGGTGGCACACTACCTTTAATTTTAGGTCTCGTTGATGAAATGTTGGAATGTCCTAAAACTTTAATGCGTCACTTAATGATCGGCCAATTCCAAGACTAGTTTTAGCTCATTCCTGTACAATTGTACTGAAGAATTGGTGTACTTACATCTATTGCAGCTGCACTTTATAATTGTCTCAACCTCTCAAGACAGCTCAGATATTGTTACATACATGCTCTCAACCAAACTTCGAAAACGACAATTCGTTTGCTTCGCATTTGGCTACAGAAATTTGTAAAAACACTTATTTTCAACCCGGCGACCAGCAACAGCCGACTGTTTCGTCCCTTAGTTTGCAAAATAGGAATGACTAAGTGGGTTCGCCGGCGGGCGGGCGGGCGTCCCCCGGCCCCAGTGAGGCTCTCCCACGTGAGGCGTCCTGAAGCGAACTTTGCTCGGCGTCGGGGGAGGGGAAGATAAGAGCCTCGCGGTAGATAGCGTCCTTACATTGTGAACATAGCGCAAAAATGGCACCGCAAGTATTAAGTAACGGTTTTTCACAACTGGCGGCGCACGTCTCAACGAGTCAAAGAAGAGAAAATAAATCATTTGATACTCTGACTGTTGTAATTTCGCCTGACCTTTGACACGCAACTTTGCTTACCTCAAATATTCAAGACATTAGACGAGTGACGACTGTTGCCTGTTGGTGTTGTTTCTTTTCGTACTCTGCCTTGCGGCTAGAGTCCTACGTGGTCACTCTATCCTCGCTCTCTCCACTCTCCGTGCTGACATACTGTGCCGTCCAGCGTTGGTGTTCCTCCGCGTGGCCCGAGGGCAGGTCAATGACCAGCTGGGGTCAGTGCCGGGGTCGCCGCCGGCTCGGACGGGCGGCGGATGGGGTCAGAGGTCATAGTGGTCAGCCCATTGTCAACTGAGTCATCTGAGCGACCAAGTGTGTGCTGAACGGTGGATTTGATCAGTTGATGTTTATAAAAACAGTGCATACAGATTGAGCCTTACTTTGCCGAGTGTGCAATATTAGACAATTGTTCTCCAAGCTGCACTGTGAAAATGGGCTCTAAGTTTATTGCATGGATTCGAAGAAAGAAATTCCTAGTTACGAAGAGACTGCCGATCGCACGAAATTGGGAAAAGTGAGTTATTATGAATGGAATTGAGTGTCTAGCCTTAATTGCCTGATGAATACATTCAGAACTTGCTACAGATTGCTGTTTCATATTTGAGTTCGTAAAAAATTTTGCTCGAACACTGGTAAACGTGAGGACCTTTGTAAACGACGTCTTGTATGCTACATATAGCTTCGCCAATCGTCACATCCTCGCTGCCCTGGTGACAACCGCCCCAGTTGTGTCACCTTCTGGGGCCTCTCTGTTCCGACACCACTCACAACCGTGAGTCAACACCCTCCCCCTGCCCACAAACGGTCGGTCTCAGTCGTCGCGCTGCGTTATGGCGCAGCGTGCACGCTTTTCACACCGGCCAGCTAAGCACGGGCTGCCGAGGTCGCTCCAACTGGGTCACTCGTTTCCTGCCAAGACGAGCTGGCCCGTTCCGAGTCACCGGTTCCGCCCCGCCGTTCCGCCCCGCGGTTCCGCTGCGGGTTCCGCCCCGCCCGCGGTGTGACCGACCCCAGCTCGACAGCCGTCCGTTCACTTCGCTCGAGTTTGCCTAAAAACGGCATGTGCCGAGTGGTGTGAAAGTGAGCCATGGCCTCCACGCGCCGGCTCGTTTGTTGACGGACCGTCCCACGCCCGCGCCACCCCGCCCGACCGACCCCACTCTGTGTGTGTTTGTGTGTCTGTGTGCGGAGGAATTGTCAACTGGCCCACCAAGGCTTCAAGCCTTGAAGTGGCGGGTAACTTGATCCGACGTTATTTGAAGTCTTCTTCGGATATACTTCACAAACACATTATCAGAAACACATTTGTCATATAGCTAAACTGCTCCTCTTCCTTTCGTCATGTGTCAACATATCAGCACTAATCGATAAGTTATTGCTTTATGATCATCAACGCTTCATCGCTTCGTATTAGCCATAGATCACCGCTTATGCCTACATCCTGCTTATGCTACCCTGCCATAGCTTTGCGTAGCTTTTTGCTTCATCCCTGTTTATGTCAGCTTATCGCTTTAACCTTCGCCCTGGTGGGGGGGGGGGCCATTTTGGCCCCCCCCCCCTGTGGTTTTTCAGCGATAACTCAGAAACCACTTGAGTTAGCGCCCTGAAACTTTGTATAGCTGTTTATTCAACATTTTTACATCATGTCCTTTTTTTGGGGGTTCGGGTCAGGTCAGGTCAGGTCACAAGGTCACCAAAACTGACACCACCTCTAAAAAAGTTCAAAGCTCTCTCAAAGGCACAGCTTTTATCCGATCGATGTAAAATTTACAGTACTTGAAGATGTCACCCAGCTCTACAAAATGGCTATCTCGGATTTTTTATAAATGTGACCTAAGGTCAGGTCAGGTCATCGCTGCTCCCCATTATAAGTCAATGGGAGAATCGAAAAGTAGTTGTTTTTCAGCTAAATCGGGCGTGATTGTTCCTATATTTCGTTATTGAAGTGTCTTGGGTCAGCAAATCACAGCCCATGTGAAACCATTTGCTTGTGACCTCGCTGAGGTCACGCTAGGTCATCTCCCTGGTCACCAGAGGTCACCAGCGGTTTTTCTGCACTTACTTGTTATTGAATAGAGATAGAGACTCCGTTCGACGTTTATCGTGTTTGTCTCGTCAATGCGGATCGAATGATATGCAGCATGACCTATTTCGGTAAGGTCATGACCTTGACCTGAGGTCAAATTTTCAAAATGACCTTTCGAGGTCAAACTATATATCATTCGACGCGTCTCGACGAGCCAAGCACGATGGTGCATGAATCGTTTCTCTATTTTCTCGTGAATGCATGCTATAGTTAAAAACATTTTCAACGAAATTTGCCAAGTTGACCTTGCATGACCTCTGTAGGCCAAACCGTTGAGCTGAGGTCAAATCTGACGAACCTTGGCGAAAGAGCTTGAAAAGAGCTATCGATTGCTTTTTTCCGCGGCTCTCTAGCTCTTCTAGTTTCCGAGCTACAGCGGAATATGTCCGGCAACACCGAAAACACTGAAATTTGACCTATGATGACCTCTAGCGACCTCAATATTGACCTTAGCGAAAAAATGACCGAAATACTTTCGAACGTACTTGTTATGGGCTTTCGTTTGCTTTTTTCCGCGTCTTCCTAGCCCTCTTCGTTTTCGAGTTAGACGGGGGGGGTCATTTTGGCCCCCCCCCCACCAGGGCGAAGGTGGCTCAGACCCACACCAGGGCGCGGGTTAATCGCGGCCAGGGGCCCGATTTTTTATCGTTTCGCTGCTTGTGATTGCTGTGCTGCGATATCGTTGAGCCCGTCAGTAAGGTGCCTCTGAAAAAAAAATGAACGGGAATAGCCAACGCTTTTGCTGGGTCGCTTTGCTTTGCCATCAATTTTTTGTTACCTATTCCTGTTTATCTGTTTTATTATTATTTTTTTTTTTGTAATGACGAGTGTTTCTACACTTTTAAATAGTTCACTTTTAACATGGGGTTTGGAACTGGAATAGCAGTTTTGTTGCTTGCGCTGAGACTAGCACAAATCAGAAGCTTTTACGGCCCAACGATCACCCTAGACGAAGATATTCCATTTTTCGTTCCGAAAAGAGTGCCTTGCAGAGGAATGCGTGCCTTGCTGAGGAATGCAGTCACGTCATCGTCAGCCAATCAGAATGCTGCTTACAGCCGATGGGTTTGTCCAACGCAATATGATTGGTCAACGCGTAATAAGCTTCCGCGTCAAACATTATTTTATATAGAATATAGTTCTTCTTATACTAAAATATAGAAAATAATCCTTTTTACAAAAACGTTTTGTTTTATTTTCTGATCATTTTGAGCATAAAAAAGCATAAATCCATAGCAAAATACTAATTTCAGGAAAGTGAACTATTTCCTTTAATTCTTTTAATTGATTGCCACCTTATGCTTATCCAGTGCTCAATAATGACAGATGTTTGCATGTTTTAGAATTATCCAGGACATGCCCATTTTAAGTGTCTTTGTCTAAGCGAACAAAATTGTTTCAGTGGGGCGTCTTAATGAGCCTTCGAGGCGCTGGCCGCTGCCTCTTACCCGATCGGTGTGATTACGCCCCTCTCCCCCTCCCCTCCTTCTCATTCGCAGAGTGATGGCCGACTCTCAGCCGAAGGGGCGCTGGTCGCCGACCTCTGTGACGTTGACCGAGCCGCCTCCGGAGCCGGAGGTAGCGGTCAACGCCGCGTCTCCGGCTCACAGCGCGTCACCTCGCCAGTCGCCGCAGCAGCAGCAGCAGCAGCAGCAGCAGTCGCCGCAGCAGGAGCAGGAGCAGGGCCAGTCGCCGCAGCAGCACCAACAACAGTCCCCACAGCAGTACCAACAGCAGTCCCCGCAGCAGCATCAGCAGCAGTCGCCGCAGCAGCACCAGCAGCGGTCGCCGCACCAGCACCACCAGTTGCAGCCACTGTCTCCTCACCACCTGCAGTCGTCACCACCGTCGGTGCCGTCCGAGTCACCACGTCATCACCACCAGATGCAGCCTGTGTCGCCGCACCAGCAGATCATCCAGTCAGGATCGCCGCAGCAGCAGCACCAGGCCCAGACGGGATCACCCCAGCAGCACCAGATCCACGGGGGATCGCCGCACGCGCTGCAGATCCAGACGGGATCGCCGATCCAGCAGCAGCAGATGACGTCAGGATCCCCGCGTCATCAGATCCAGGCGCGATCTCCGCACCAGCTGGCCGGGTCTCCGCACCAGCTGGCCGGATCTCCGCACCACCGTCACCAGCTGCAGTCGGGCAGCTCGCCGTACCAGGAGCAGCAGGAGCAGCTGCAGCGGCACCACCAGCTGCATCAGCTGCAGCAGCACCGCGAGCAGCAGCTGCAGCAGCAGCAGCAGCAGCAGCCGCCGCTGCCCGATCCCAGCACCATCATGGACAAGCTGCCCTCCTACGACATGAACCTGAAGAAGGAGGTCGACGCGGACATGCCAGTCTCTCACAGCTCGCATGTCACGCACGGCTCTCATGGCTCACCACACGTGGCACACACGGGCTCTCACTACTCGCATGGCGGCTCTCAGTACTCTCACTCGTCCGGTCACGGCTCTCCGCAGTTCTCCTCGGAGACTGTCACCATCCACGGCTCCCACGGCAGCCAGGAGGTGGCCTTCAAGACGGAGCAGCTGCCGGTCGAGCCGGTGCTGGTGGAGGGCACGCCGCACATCGTGTACCCGAGCTCGGCAGGTGATGATATGGAGCAGGGCGCCATGGCCACACTGCGGCCCATCACTCCCTCCATGCCGGCACTCTCCTGCTCGGCTGCTGACGCCGGTCTCAGCTACTCGAGCCTGCAGAACGGCGGTACTAGCGCCGGCTCGCCGCTGCACACGTACGGTACCTCCGTACAGCCGCTGCTGAGCTATGGCGGCGGCGCCTCGGCCAACTACTACACCCAGGCCACCGGCGGCTACACCAAACACGAGCGCTACGCCGGCGGCGGACAGGAGTACGACCTGAGCCCGTACACATCCGCGATTCCCGACTTCCAGAGGATCACCGGCGCCACGAAGGAGCACGAGATGGCCTGGGCGGCGTGCGGCGAGTTCGGCGCTACTGCGCAGGCGATGGCCGCCGGCGGACAGGGTGGCCTCGTCTACCCGTCCGTCAACTGGTCGACGGTGAACGCCGCCTACGTCAGCAACGACGTGCGAAAACTGGACCTCAGTGAGTACAGGGTGGGTGTGTCCGAACTGGGTGAAGTGATCCGTTTCTGCAGAGTTCGATATATTCGGCAATGAACAACGGATATGTCTATTATGTAATATTTATTACCAGAAACTTAGCAAAATACGGTTTTTATTTAGGGGAGGTATGATTCCTCGTTTATTTTAGTTTATTTGTTCTTTATGCTACTCCAGCCGTTTGTTTCTGCCGATACATTCTATAAGCCTAAAAAGAATAAGTACGATATATGATACCCTGTTGCTCCGGTGAAATTTTTCTTGAGCCTGGAGTAAACGTTGAACTATTTCGCTGTTAATGTCTATGACAGTTATCGATGCTTAATCAAAAACTACATATCATTTGGCTTTTGTTTTAGGTACTGTTATACCTATGATGTAATATATGTGTACTTGTATTTTATTCAAATTTGTTATTAGGCGCTCTTGAATGATGCATTACAGAATTAACTTTTACCAAGTTCGCACAGTATATACTTATGAAACCTTGGACAATGCATTGACAAAAATAATGCGAAATATTGTCTTTAATTTTGAAGAACTCCATCACGCAGGCCATGTAACAACAAGGTAAGTGATGTGGCATCTTTGCTCCCCTCAGGTGACCCCGCTAACCAGGAGGAACGAGAATGTGTCAACTGCGGCACGGTCAGCACTGAGTGACCTCCGTTTGACCCCCAGGTGACCCCGCTAACCAGGAGGGCCGCGAGTGCGTCAACTGCGGCACAGTCAGCACCCCGCTGTGGCAGCGCGCCTCGACTAACCACTACCTCTGCAACGAGTGCGGCACGTACATGAAAAACTACGGCACCAACCGGAATCCTCCGAAGGCGCCCGCCGCCAAACGCCTGGTGAGTGAGCTCCTGTACCGGGGGACCATCAGTGACCTCAGCGACACAGCGACCAAAGGCTCCCACAGCGCCCGCAGCGCCCTCTAGGCCCCGTGACCTCGGTGACTCTAGCGCCCTCAGTGACCCCAGCGCCATCTAAGCTCCCTGAACGGAGCGCTTGTTCGTCCCACTAGTGCTCCTCTCACCCATAGCACCCATAGGGTCAAGTAAACCCTGACAGACCTGACAGATCATGAATGGGAGGGTGAATGACCGAGGATAAACAACAGATAAGCGAACACAAAGTGCAGCCGATGATTATCATGGTACGTGGGATCGGGCGTCCGATATCAAGCGGATGTATTTAGAACTACTAGTTCGTCTGCCGGCCGGGACAGCTCTGGTGGCGCTGCAGGAGCAATGTTATGCAGGGGGCGCTTCTGAGCCGGTATGACCCTCCCCTGGCCTCCGCAGCCTGTCCAGCGTCGATTGTGGCCAGGACTGGTCCCTGGTCCGCGCTGGAGCTTCTTCAGTGAGGTGGAATTATGAACGCACTGTGGTGTATTTGGTTGCTCAAACACTTCAAATATTTAGTTATATTCTGAATTCCTGATGTTCGAAGAAACGAGATCGTTGGGCCTTACAAAATCTAACCGTATGGTTGAGTTATTTAGCACACAAGGCTACGTATTAGCCGTTCTCAGGTGCAACATTTATTCGTTCCCTGTCTCATGATTGGTTTTATGATCTGACCACGCCAAGTCATTTATTCTACGAGTTACGAGTAGGCTGGATCGAGGCGGAAAGACATGTTTCATTGAGGCAGCTGCCACCTGTCCCATAGGTAATATGGAGCTAAGCAAAGCAATGCTTGCAATTTTAAAAGTAATCCAGCAACAGCTCATTTTCTCTCTTGGTTTCAATCACTTACTTCTCTGAAGTGTATTTAATCATTTGTGTAACTGTAAAGTATGATCAAGTGAGTTTTTAAGAGCGCACCCGGACTCGCAAACTGCGTGAATGACTTCTGCCCCTGCCTACCCCGTCAATCCCCTCTCTCCCATCTCTCTCATCTGTCGAAGAGCTGTCTGTCTAACGTCAGCAGTCGGGTCTGTTCCAGAGTAACCCGGCGGCGGCTCGCCGCGTCGGACTCTCGTGCGCCAACTGCCAGACCACTACCACGACGCTGTGGCGCCGTAACAGCTGCGGAGAGCCGGTGTGCAACGCCTGCGGGCTCTACTTCAAACTACACCAGGTCAGTCCACAGGTCAACGAGTCGCTCACTGCAGAAAGGGAACGGGCAGTAGGCACAGGCGCACTGCACCGAGTCATCAACGTACTGCCCTGCCCAATGGGCACTGGCATACAATGACTACACTGGGTCGGACCCAGTGGGTGACCCAGTGGATCAGTCCCCAGTCGCCAATATGGTGCACTGCCCCAATTTGTGGGCACTGACATACTGCACTGGGTCAGTCCCCGGTCAACAACACGATGCACTGGTCACTATCTCAGTCATTGGTCATCAGCATGCTGCACCGGAATATTTCTTGTCTCCCAAAAACTGCAGCAAAATTGTCAGTGCCACACAAGTTGAGATGCGGTTAAGTTACAGTGTGCGCTTCTAATTCGGCTCGAAAGTTCCGTAGGGGAGAGTGGGGTAATTTGGCCGCTTTTTTTAGAAAACGATGTAACTTAAAATTGACGACACATTTCTGCATTTTCTCAACGCTGGCAGGTGTCGCATTCCTTTCACTTTACTGGACAGTGAACTTGAAATGATAGAGTAATTACTTATATTGAAATTGTGACGTATTACAAAGGTCTGCAAGGCGGCCAAATTGCCCCACTAGCAGGGTTATTTGGCCGGGGGTGTGGGGCAATTTGGCCGGTGTTAGTTTGCGGTCGGGATTTTCTGTTATATTGCGAGTCAGCTTCAGATTCAGCAATGACGTGTGTCCTATGACGCATTTACCACATTTTGGAGGTTGACTCATGGGGGTCACAGGGGTCAAAATAGCCAAATTAGCGGCTCTAGATGCGTAGACAGTTTTTTACGAGTAACTTTTGAAGTAATCAAGCTAGGCCAAAACTTCGAGTACCATCGTAATTCTCTTGTCATTCCGCATCGAAACATATATGTATGTGTGGACCTCGAGAGGTCAAGGTCAAAGGTTGACCTCAGGTCAGGTTACCTCAGGTCGCTTGACCTCAAGGTCACGTGATTTCAAGGTCATCATGCATATCATTCGATGCGCCTTGGTGAGCTGAACAGAATGAGACCATTTGTGCGGCTATACTATTTTTATGTAAGGATTTATTAGCAAAAAACGTTTGGTAACCTTTGATGACGTCACGTGCTCTTACAGTTGACCAATCGGAAGTAAGGCATCAAAGTAGTCAAAGTTGGTCATGAATCATGTCATTTATGGTACAACTGACCATGAAAACTCGGCCGTCCCAGCATAGTGACCATGAGCGCACCGGCCAAGTTGCCCCGCTAGTCCCGGCCAAATTACCCCATATTGCCATTCTGAAAATTTTTGTGCATAAAGTCATCACGGCTATACGGAATTAGATGAAATTGCTCTTGGAACTGTTGAATACCCCCAAGAATGGCGCTATAATGTCTGAATTCCTTTTTAGCCCAAATACTACATGTTATACAACTTTGTAAACAGAAGTAAAAGTTACCATTTTCTAATGAAATTAACGTTTTATTAATTTTGAATAAAACTACGAGGGGCAAAGTTTTGACATTTGTCCTCCAGTTATTTCTACCCATGACAAATGAATAGAGACTAGAGTTATTTCACTCACTTTTATAAGACATCGTACAGGTGGGGGCGGCCAATTTACACCACCGGCCAAATTACCCCACTCTCCCCTACCTTTTTATTTGTGAACTAATTTGCCGACGTAATTACATGATGACTATTTTTTTTTTTACCGCTAATGCACGCTATTCGCTCAAGATTTTAGAAATCGCTAGTGATCTTTCCATATTCTAGGGAAGCTTGATGACTGATGAGCTCATTAATCCCGAGTCCTGCATTGAGGACGTCCAGCCGAAGCTTTTTTAGCAGAACATTCGAGTATCCATTATCCAAGGAGATTTTTCTCATACTTTTTGTCAGCGACCTTTGACTGCTTAAAAAAAAAATTGCTTGGGTTAAAAAGGCGTGCATCTAGGAGCGTCGAGCGTGCATGTTCACAGAAAAGCCATGGACACTGAACATGCAAGAATCATGTTTTCGTCCCGGACCACCCACAGTGGTGCTTGTAAAATAACTTTACCGCCATGGCTCAGTCTTGGTTGGACTATTTAAAGCTGCGATATTGCGAACATTGTCAACATTGCTTTTAACAGTGACGAACGGCTGCGTTAACGGGTGAAAAACTGTATTGTCACATCATATTGTTGTATCAATATTTGATTTTAAAGCAAGATATAATTTTTTTTTAGTCCGAATAACGCATTCAGTTATATCATGGGTCCCCCGCCGCCTCCTCCACCTCCGCAGCGGCGGCCACCACCGCCGCTGCCAGAGACGCCTGTGTCGAGGACACAGGCCGCCGCCTCGACATCCCCGTCGGGGCGGCAACAGCCCTCCGCGGCTCCAGGGCGCCTCGCCAAGCGGCAGACGCCCCCGAGCTGGTCGCCCTCGGAGGGTGACGCCCCCCGGGCGAAAAAGCCCCAGCAGGGCTCGAGCCACGCCCGATCCGCCTCTGCTGAAGGGAGGCTGCACCGAGAGGGGTCGGGGCATCCCCGTATCCGTTACGGGGGGAGTGCCTCCTCGGAGTTAGAGGACCTAGTCTAGTCTTTCAGTCTAGTCATTTCCTCTTTTATCCTTTTATCTTTTTCGCGCTATTGCGCTTTTTTACCAGGTGCATTTCTCTCGGTGCTTTTTACCTTTTTTGTGGTCAGTCAGGTATCTGTGTGCGCCTTTGCCTCATGTTATACGCGCCCTTTTTGCGCCTTTTTAACCACGCCTTTTATTCTACAGTGGAACTGTAGAGGCCTCCGGGCCAACTACCAGGACCTACAGTCTCTTATCCGTTGGCGCACACCCCTTGTTTTAGGTCTCCAGGAGACCAAGCTAGCGCCAAACGTTACCTTTGCCATCAAGGGCTACTCTGTTTTTAGAAGAGACCTGGACACCCCTACCATTGCCCATGGAGGTGTGCTTCTGGCGGTTCACCACAGCGTACCTGCTCGCCAGGTGCCGCTGCAGACTCCCCTGCAGGCGGTGGCCGCCAGAGTTGATTTCAACCACCGGGAACTGACCGTGTGCTCTTTATACCTACCACCAGGTATAGCGCTCCCGGTGGTTGAGCTGCATCGACTTGTCGATGAGCTTCCACCTCCGGTCCTGGTAGTCGGCGATTTTAATGCCCATAGCCTGGCGTGGGGATGCGACACGACTGGCACTCGTGGTCGACTTTTAGAATCTTTTATCCGCGATGAGGCGCTGTGTATTTTAAATACAGGACAGCGCACCCATTTTACAACACCCTCCGGTCAAACATCGGCTCTGGACCTGAGCTTAGTCAGTCCGCGGCTAGCTCAGCTTTTTACCTGGTCCGTCCATGACGACCCACTCGGGAGCGACCACTTCCCAGTGTGGCTGGAGCACCAGGAGTCCCCAGTGTCAGGCAACCGTCCACCTAGGTGGAATGTTCGGAAAGCCGACTGGGGCGAATTCCAGGCCGCTGTAGAGGCTTCTGTTTTATCCAGAGCCGACCCCTCTGTGATGTCTACAGAGGATTTTACATGTTTACTCATTGACTCCGCAAACGGGTGCATACCCAAGACGTCGAGTCAGCCTCGTCGTCCTCCGGTCCCGTGGTGGACCAAGGAATGCGGAGATGCGATTCGTGCCAGGAAGCGCGCTTTTAGAAAGTTTGACCGGAGTAGTACTACTGAGAACCTCATCGCTTTTAAGAGAGCGCGGGCTTTTGCCCGACGCGTTTTAAAGGAGGCAAAGGCTGTTTCATGGCGCACTTACGTAAGTTCCTTAAACCGTTTTACTCCTACGACCCAAATATGGGCACGCATGAAGCGCATTGAAGGCCGGTTCAGCTCTGTTCCGCTTCCGGTTTTAAGAGTGAACAACACGGACATATCTCACCCTTCAGACGTCGCAGAGACGATAGGCCGTGCACTCTATCAGCGCTGCCGAGGAGAGCCGTCCTCACGACCTGCACCAGCCGCCGTGGACTTCAGCACAGCTGAAAATTTGGTGTACAACGAGCCTTTCTCTATGGCTGAACTCACGTCTGCCATCAGCTCGTTGCGCAGCGTCTCAGAAGGTCCGGATGCAGTCCACAACGACATGCTCCGTCATCTCCCCACAGTTGCCCTCGAGGCGCTGCTAGCAACCTTCAATTCGCTTTGGGAGACTGGCACCTTCCCTGAGACCTGGCGGGAAGCCATTATCATTCCTATCTTGAAGGCTGGCAAGTCGGGACATGACCCTCTCCATTATCGGCCCATCTCTCTCACATCATCGCTTTCAAAGCTGATGGAGAAGATGGTCAATGTGCGTTTTAGCTGGTTTCTGGAACATCACGGTGTTTTTACAAACGCCCAGTGCGGTTTTAGAAAGCACCGCAGCCCTGTTGACCACATTTTAGCCCTTGACACCGAGATACGCACCTGTTTTACTGAAAAGAAGCACCTTGGAGCACTGTTCTTTGATATTGAGGCGGCCTATGATACAGTCTTACGACACAGCATACTTTCCAAAATATACAAGCACGGCATACGCGGCCGGATGGGCCTCTTTATCAAGAATTTTTTATCGGGTCGTCGGTTTAAAGTCCGAGTTGGCAGTGATTTCTCGAGCAGTTTTACCCAGGAGAACGGAGTTCCCCAGGGTGGGGTGCTCAGTGTGGCGTTGTTCGCGGTGGCAATCAATGACATCGTCGACGACCTCCCGGTTTCCATCGGGAGATCGCTTTTTGTCGACGATTTTGCCATCTGGTTTGCTGCTTCAAGCGCTCGTCATGCGGCTAGACAGCTGCAGCTCGCCGTAACACGTTTGGAGAGGTGGAGCGGTAAGAATGGTCTTCGTTTTTCCACAGCGAAGACCGTGGCAATGCACTTTTGCCGCCGACGTTGTGACGACCTAGCTTTGGGAATCAAGCTCTACGGACAGGTGATTCCCACTCGGCCGGTGGCGAAGTTTCTTGGGATTTATTTTGACAGTCGCTTGACGTATAAGGAACATTTTAGAACGCTTCGGGAACGGT